ATATATATAACTTCTCAGGGAAGAGTCACTCCCTCCTGAATCACTTTCATTCCCTCTGTCCAGTAAGTAATCAACTTTCTTGTTTTCTAGTGTATCTTTCCTGTGTTTCCTTTTGGTAACAATAGGCAAATATATGTATGTTTTATTTCCCCTGCTTTCTTACACAAAAGATGGCATACCATATATTCTCTTTTGCACTTTCCATTTTTTTGTTAATATTTCCTGGAAATCATTCCGTATTAGTTTGGAGAAATCTCTCCCATTTTGCTTTTGGGGGTTTGTTTTATTATAGCTGCACAGAACCCCACTGTGTGTACATACCCTATTTTATTAAACCAATCACCTATGCTTGGAGATTTAGGTAGTTTCCAATATCTTACAACTACAAATAATTCTACAATGCAAACTTTGTGCATGTATATTTTCATATTTTGGAGGTGCATCTTTAGGGTAAATTCCCAGAAGTGGGATTTCTGTGGTCAAGAGATAAAGGCACATGTTGTTTTGTTAAATATTGCCAATTTCCCCTCCGTAAGGATGATATCACTTTGTAGTCCCATCAGCAATGAGTGAAAGTGTCTGCTTCCCCACAGCCTCATCAACAGACTACATTGCCAAGCTTTTTAACCTTGCCAATCTGCCAAATGAAAAACATCTCATTGTAGTTTTAATTTACATTAATCTTACTATAAATGAAGTTGAACATCTTTCATTTATTTAGGGCCATTTATATGTCTTTTTTTAATGAATTGCCTGTTCCTAAATTTTGTAGTATACCTTAATATGTGTTAGGGTTAGTCCCCCCTCAGAGCTCTTTCTTTCCAGCGTTTCTCTAGATAGTCTTATGCATTTGTTTTTTCATACAAACTTTAACATCAACCTGTCTTGCTCTTTTAAAATGACCTTTGGTTATTGGATTAGGGTTACATTAAATTTATAAATTAACTTAGGAAGAATTGACATCTTGATCAAGTTGAGACATGCCAAAAACAGGACGTGTTAATCCTTTTGTTCATATTATAAATACACTGATGTTCTCTCTTAGACACAGGTATCTTAGCTCATTAAATAAAATAACAAATATTTACTGAGCAGCTGTGATGCCCTCAACACTATATTAAGTACTATAGAAGTAAAAAAGTAGGTCCTGTCTTCAAGTAGCTTAGAATTTCATGAGAGAAACAGACTAATACACCTTAACGCAATGCAAGCAGCTCAAGACCCCATGTAAAGAAGCTATCCATTGCACAGCCAGACCACACATGCTATGCAAGTTCAAGGAAAGGGAGAAAAATGAGGGCTATGATAAAAAGGGAAGACTTTGGGCTGGATTGAGACTGGAATCATGTGCTCCGAAGGCTGTGTAGGATTTAGGTAGGGTGACAACAAAGGAATCCCAGTGACTAGCACCCAGGCAAAAGCTCAGATGTGGACTGTGACATGTCTCACAGGACAGAAGGCCCCCAGTCCGATTCTTAACTGCAATAGTGGGGAAGCCAACACCCCTTTCTTCAAACCTCAGAATTATGTCTCAAATCCTCATTATGTACTTATTAAAATCAGTGAACATCTATCAGGTTTCCAGATACTAGTCCTTTACAGTGGTAATTTCTTTACATCATTAACTTTTTAGGGAATGGTCTAGAGCTCTGCTATCCAATACAGTAGCCTCTAGCCAGATATGGTTCTTGAGCCCTTGTAATGTGGCTAGTGTCACCGAGAAACTGAATTTCTCATTTTGATTTCATTTAATTTAAATTTTATAAGTGGAAGCAGTGTAGAATATTTTTCTATTGAACCCAACTTCATTGTTTGGGGAGGACTACTTTTTACTTTAACTGTGGCACTGGTACTGCATATCACTGTTGTGTTACAGTGTGTGTGTCCATTTTATTTTTTTTAATGTGGCTACTGTATACACACACAGATCATATTGCATTTCTATTTGACAGCACTGGTCTAGAGCCTTACAACTCAGTATGGTCAGGTCAGCATCGCGTGGGAGCCATCCCAGAGCATCAGAATCTGCTAGTTTACAAAGACACATCCCCTCAGGTGATTCTTATGCAGTCATAGAAGCACTGAGCTGGATGATTCAGAAGACACCCAGGCCTCCTTCGGTAGGTACCCTAGAGTGGCCCCTGTAACTTCAGGGGTTGGGGGAGGGGAGGCAGAGGGAACAGCAGGGAGACCCCTGCCTGCCACTGTGATGTCACAGAGTAAGCCTCATGTGTCAGCCAGCCCCACCCTGACTGGTGTCCTAGCTGCAGGATATCCTTCCCATCCTCTCCAGCCCACCTCAGACCACCTTACCCCTCTGCAGGCAAGAGGGAGCCTGATCCATCTTCACACGGCTACTCATTCCACGCAACCTGTTAAAACAGAGAAGAGGAGAAACTGAAACACAGCTTCAGAAGTGAATGAGCAACCCCTCTCAACTGACTCAAAATGTTTGTCTCACCCAGAAGGTAGGTCCCTTTATTTTTGAAATCTCATGTCTGTGTCATGTGTAGAACTCTTAATGTTGGATTTGTAATACGGGTTATACAAATTCATCTGTTTAGTTCACACCCTTACAATAAGGAGCTTGAGGACACACTGTAGGATTACCCAAAGTAGAATAAAAACATATTACCCAAGCCCAGTTTTTATTGATCAACCTGGAGATGTCCATACCTTGGCCTCTTGCCTTTTCATCTTCTTCCATTAAAACTTCCATTTCTCCTTCCTTCATCTCATCTTACGTTTTCTCTTTGCTCCCAGGGCTTCTTAGAGCCCCTACCTTTCCCCCCCTCCATCTGTATGATTCCTGTTGCCAAAACCTGGCCCCTGCTAAAAGGCCCAGCGGCGGTGGGAACAAAAAAGATGTGTATCGCTCTGTTGAACTGAAAGAGTGGATATTAAGTTGTCCAGAGCATGGCGAGGCATCCCCATGGTCCTGCTCGAAGCCGGCTCTGGCCTGGAATCGGCATAACCTTAGGCTCTTTTGGTCCCAGAGAATCTGAGAGAATCTGCAGGGGTCCTCCCAGACCCTGGAAGACCCTCACCGCCAGCCAAGATTCTCGGCTTGTTTAGGGGAGTCCACATCTGGAGGCTGTGAGCTGCCCACCTTCTTCAAAGGGTTCCTAAGAAAGAAAAAGTTTTCATTAGGAACGCTTGGAGCTGAGAAAAGTTTTCAGTCTCATATATATCTTGTCTTTGTCAAGAGAGCAAAAGGAAGCCTACTGTTAGCCAGAGAAACACACACAGAGGGGAGGAGTGGGGAGGGGGGTGCTGTTTATTGGCTGGACGCCAGGGAGCTCAGAAGAAGGGATAAGATGGGCCTAAGGAAGGCACTCTGGGGCCCGCAGGCAGAGCCAGTGATTCTGAAGGGCCACCGCGCGTGGGCTCGGGGCTCCCTAGCTCAGGCGCGGCCCCAAGCGAGGAGATGGTCACTAGAGGCACCGTCAGAAGTGGACAGAAATACGACGGGGAAAGCCAGCCACAGTGCATTGTATTATTGGTTTCCGAGGAGACACGGGGAATGTGGGAGAGTCTGTTTATCAGCCTTTAAGAGAAGTATAAAGTACACTCACTCCGCTGCCGCGCTCCGCGAGGGCCCATAACCCGGCCCGGAACGGAAGTGTTTGATAAGGGGGCCGTGCCCCCCTTTATTGAGGGGCAGCCCGCGGGTGAGTCAGGCATTTTGAAGATCGCCTCCACCTTCTACTAGCGCGCGGCCTTGAGCAAGTCGGAAGCTCTGAGACGGTTCCCGTGTGGGACGGCTGAGGGTTGAGCCGGGGCCTGTGGAGCGTCCCGCCAGGTGCCTGGTACGCAGCCCGGCCCCCTCCGAGGGCGCTCCGCCCATTCGCCTCTGAGGAAACAGTCCCTCCGTGAGGGGGGGCGGAGGGACTCGGGGCCCCGGAGTTTCACCCGTTGGATTCACGAAGCGAGGCAAAGACACGGCGTTGTTTTAGAACCGGGGCCGGGGGGGCAGGGAAACGCCTCACGTCGGGTGACACGGCAACCTGGCCGCCCGCGCCCCGACCCGCGGCCTAGGAGCCTGCGTGTGAGACGCCGCCCGGCGACCCAGGCCCC